TACACATCCCTAATGGCCCCTGGAACAGAAACATAGTAAACAGGAATGGGTCATTCAGCCTTTCGAGCCTGCTCTGCCATTCAATATGATTGTGGCTGATTTTCCAACTCAATCCCGCGTTCCTGCTTTCTTCCCCATTCCCTTTTATCCCTTTAGCCCCAAGAACTGTATCCCTCTCTTATCGGGCACATCATATAAAAGTTTGAATACAAGTATGGATGGATCCAGGAACAGCAGTTATCAGATTTTTGAACGGAACTCTCAAATGTTGATTCTGATCCCTCTCTCTCTCTCTCTCTCTGCACTTTCTCTGCGACAGTAACACTGTATTCTGCACTCCGTTCTGCTACCCTGATGCACTTTGTATGGTATGATCTCTCTGTAGAGCACGCAAAACAACTGAATTTTGGTACATTTGGCGACAAGAAATCAATCTTACTCCTGGAAAACATTCAATGTTTTGGCCTCGACCACTTTCTGTGGCAGAGAATTCCACAGGCTCCCCACTGTCTGGATGAAAACATTTCTCCTCATCTCAATCCTAAGTAGCCCACCAGTATTCTTAGACTGTGAGCCCTGGTTCTGGACTCCCTAGTCATCGGGAACATCCTTCCTGCGTTTCCCTGTCTAGTCCAGTTTCAAATGAACTGAGTGTCTTGCTGGGCTATTTCAGAGTGCAGTTAGGAATCACATACAATGCTGTGTGTCTGGAGTCTTAGGTACATAAGGATGGCAACGTTCTTTCCTTTATTGCATTAGTAAATTGGATGGGTTTTTATAAGGATTGAGAACAGTTTCATGGCTGCGTATTCCCTCACTGAGATTCACTTTCAATTCCAAATTTATTCATTGGGTTTAAATTGCCTCAGTCACTGTGGTGTAATTTGAAACTGTCTCCCTAAAGCATTAACCTAGATTTCTAGACCAGTCACATTACCGCCCCACCAATGGTACTACTTGACTGCTAGTTGGCATGGTGTAACAAGTCACATACCACAGAGATAAGTGCTGGGATCTCAGCATATTACAATTTATCTAAGTAGAGTCAGAGAGACGTACAATACTGAAACAGACCTTTGATTCAACTTGTCCATGCTGACCAGATAAACTAAGTTAATCTAGATCCATTTGGCCCTTAAACCTCTAAACCCTTTGTACCCATCCAGATTCCTTTTAAATATTGTAACTATACCAGCCTCTACCACTTCCTCTGGCATCTCATTCCATACACGCACAACCTTCTGTGTGGAAAAAGTTGCCCCTTAGGTCCCTTTTAAATCATTCCCCTCTCACCTTAAACCTGTGCCCTCTAGCTTTGGACTCCCCTACCCCAGGGGAAAGACCTTGGCTGTTCACCCTATCCATGCCCCTCATGATTTTATAAACCTCTATAAGGTCAGCCCTTAGCCTCCTACGCTCCAGGGAAAATAGTCCCAGCCTCTCCCTAATGATTTAAACAGACTTGTTAAATTTGCTGATGATGCAAAAATTAAGTTGGGAAGAAGGAATAAGAAAGTTACAAAAGGATATAGATAGATTAAGGGGCAAAGAGGTGGTGTGTGGAGTATAATGTGGGAAGGTATGAACTTGTCTATTTTAGCCACAAGGATAAAAAAGAAGCATTTTTATCTAAATGGTGAGAGGGTGCAGAGGGATCTGGGTGTCCCAGTGCATGAACTGGCGAAAGTAAGAATACAGGTAGTAATTAGAAAAGGTAATCGAATGATATTATTTATTGGAACAGGAATTGAATTCTAAGGTTATGCTTCAGCTATACAGGGCATTGGTGAGACAACATCTGGAATACTGTGTACAGGACTAGTCACCGTATTTATGGAAGGATGTCACTGTGTTGGAAACAGTTTGGGGATGGTTCATCAGACTTCTACCTGGAAGGATCAAGTTGTTTTACAAGGAAAGATTGGACAGATTAGGCTTGTATCTGCTGGAGTTCAGAAGATTAAGTGGTGAATTCATTGAAACATAGAGTATCCTTAGGGTCTTGACTGGGTGGATGTGGAGAGGATGGTACCTCTTGCGGGAGAGTATAGAACGAAGGATCACTGTTTAAAAATCAGAGTCATCCATTTAGAGCAGATGATGAGAATTTTTCTGAAGGTTGTGAATTTTTGGAACTCTTTCTGAAAAGGCAGTATTTCTAAGAGAGAGTTGGATAGGGTTTTGTTAAGCAAATAGGGTGAAAGGTTATCAGAGTAGGCATGCATATGGAGTTATCAAATTAGCCATGATGTTATTAAATGGGAGAACAGGCTTGAGGGGTTGAATGGCCTACTCCTTTTAGCTTTATGGTCATGTGTGTATGTCACCATATCCCCAAGAGTCAATGGGATCGATGGTTAAGGCCAGTGTGAATGACTGCATATAGAAATTTGAGGGGATGAGGGAGAGATGATATGGATTTTAAAGGATAGGTCATGTTCAATTGAACCTGACTATCAGCCTATAACATTGCCTCAGTAAATCAGCCTAGTAAACCCCCTTTCTCCCCCGCACCTCCCCACAGCAGCTAATGTACCCAGGCAGAACTTGACACAGGATCACCTTCACTACCGCACTTTACAGAGTCCCTAACATAACTATCTTTTAAACTTCAGATTTGTAATGGGTGAAGAGTCCTGACTACTCAAAGCCTGTCCGCCATCTACAAGGCACAAGTCAGGAGTGTGATGGAATACTCCCCACTTGCCTGGATTAGTGCAGCTCTAACAACACCCAAGAAGTTTGACACCATCCAGGACAAAGCAGCTGCTTGATTGGCACCACATCCACAAGCATCCACTCCCTCCACCACCGACACTCAGTAGCAGCAGTATGTACCATCTACAAGATGCACTGCAGAAACTCACCAAAGGTCCTCAGACAGCACCTTCTGAACCCACGACAACTTCCATCTAGAAGGACAAGGGCAGCAGATATATGGGAACACCACCCCCTGCAAGTTCCCCTCCAAGGCGCTCACCATCCTGACTTGGAAATATATCGTCGTTCCTTCACTGTCACTGGGTCAAAATCCTGGAATTCCCTCCCTAAGGACATAGTGGGTCTACCTACAGCACATGGACTGCAGCGGTTCAAGAAGGCAGCTCACCCCCACCTTCTCAAGGGGCAACTAGGGACGGGTAATGAACAGCCAGAGACACACACATTCCATGAATGAAATCTAAAAATTCTGAATTGGAAGGAATTGTGCAGCGATGGTTCACAAGGATCTGTACTGAAGCCTTAACTATTCCATCAGTATTTATTTCTTACTTGGACAATGCCACAGGGAGCTAATTAAGTATATTTGACAAAGACTGGTGGGTAGCAAGTAATGAAGACGGGACAACAAAATTACGAGGATGTTGTCAATCATTAACGAAGCGGGCAAGATGCACGACAGTGGGATTTCAGTGTAATTTACAGTGAACTCCAAGAAAGCATGGATCTGATTACCTTCTAAATTGTAAACTGCAGTCCAAGGGGATTCAAGAGATGTTTAGCTGTCTGTGTCCACAGATTACTAAACTGTACAAATTAGTAGAAAGACTATTGGAATGTCAGCCTTTAGATCTGGATAGCTGGAATTTAAAAAGGAGTAAGTTTTGTGACGCAAACCTTGGCTAGAATTAACCTGGAGCACTTGGGACATTCTGCTGTTAAATTTGAAGCTGAGCAGACGCTATCCTTCTCAATGGTTGTGGGTTTGGAAGGTGCTGTGTGAAAATCTTTGGTGAATTTCTCCAGTGCATCTTGTGGATAATACACACTGCTGCTACTGAGCGTCGGTGGTGGAGGGAGTGGATGCTTGTGGATGTGGTGCCAACCAAGCGGGCTGCTTTGTCCTGTATGAAGTCAATTTGCTTTAGAAAATATTTATTTAAAGATTTGCTCCAAGCACGGAACTCATTAATATAAAGTACTGGTGTTTAATACTTTACTACTCATTCCTGCTTTAAATGTCTGACTTGTTTTCAAATCTTCCTTGTGTGGCTGTGAATCCAATGTTGTTTTCTTATGCTTTTGCAGAGTGTCTGTTATGACTGTAAAGGCTGTCTCTGGATGCATGTTGTTTCTGGTATTAGAACTTGATTTTCCATAACGTGGGTATGGGTTGGATCATAGTCTCACAGGGCAGGCCAATTGACACCTTGTACCTCTGCTGGCTCTTTCAAACAGATATTCTGTCAATGCACACAGAGTGTGAATGTGATTTGTCCCAGGATTTTAACATTATAGCCCTCACTGATGTTTGTTTAATCACTTTGACTTTTCACATTTACTTCTATAGATTTTTGTAAAAGGAAGAACAATTTGGGTGCTGTAGAAATGCACTGTAGGGAAGGAATGCATTTTTAGTTGGTTACAAAGAAAATGTATATAATTGCTGTGGGAAACCTCTAAGAAAGTGAAGAACAATGTTTCAAAGCTTTTTCCTCTTACTTTCTCTGTTGCCCTGTTGTCTGCTGGGGTTTTTGTGTGTGTGTGTAGGTGTAGGTGTAGTTGGTATCTTTAACTCATTTGGCTGGTTTGCGATGCAGACCACCTGAGGTTACCATGAAAGGACCCTATTTCTCAACCTCTCCCCTCTCCTGAGGTGTGGTGACCTTATGGTTAAACCACCACCCATCATGTCTCGCTCTCTTTTGCTAAAGAAAACCTTTCTTTTAAAAACAAATTAAACAGGACCAGCTATGAATCTCTGAAAAGGTTTTACAGGAATACTATGACACAGAAACAGACCCTGTGGTCTAAATGGACCATTCTTTTGCCCCATGTACGGAGTGCTCCCTGTTTCTGAGCAGCATATTGTTGGAACCTGTTGCACTGCTGTGCTTTGGTATTTGTCTTGTAGTTCGAAGCGCATTAAAACATCTCTTTAAGAAATTAACTTTTGGGCGAAATGTTGAAGATTTACCTTGCACAGTTTGTCTGGCAACTTTTGAAATATTGTAGGATTGTAGATACAAGGCCATTAATCTTTTTCCTGTTTGATGTAGGGCCCAATGACTACAGTTACCATCAGCCATCGCATCCTGAACAAGGCTATGATAGGCCTTATGAGGATTCCTCACAGCACTACTACGAAGGAGGTATATGCACATATACCTTCACGAAAGCATATACACATGCCTTACCCCTGAAAAGAATACTCCTTTCTAAAAAGAAACTCATTGTTCCCTCACTGCACAGCTCTTGTAGAACAGTAGTTGCTGGCTTATCCCAGAATCAAAGTAGCTTCAAAATTAATTACCTTACCAATGCTTACAAAAGTAGCCTTAACATTCCTAACTTTTCTCTTTTTTTTGTGAAAATAAAAGTTGCTTTGGAAGCATATGTGTTGCTCCTAATAGAAAAGACCCTAAAACAATTAACACACACACCCCCCTCCCAGGTCCATATTCTGGTGTGGAGTGCCTATGTTTCAATACCTTGCTGACGTTTTATTTTTGTATCTTTTTATTGTGCCTCTCTTCTTGTGTAGTCTAGCCATCTTCTACTTGTGTGATTCCAGTAAATGTCTGTTTCATTTTCTTTTGCAGGGTTATGGACCACCTGTGGTTCTGCGTTGCTTGACTTGCCGGATTTCTGTGGCTTTTTCCTCCTTTCGCACTTCTGTTTTGTTTAAATGTCTCCTGCTGTCTCTCTTTCCCCCACTCCCCACCTTTATCCTCCCCTCGCCCCCCACCCCATGCGCCTCCGTCCCTTCTGTTGGTTTCGTGGCTTGGGGTGTCTGCAGGATGTCCTTTTTGGGAGTGTCGAGCTAACACACTGTCGCTGTGCCCCCCTCTTGCAGGTAACTCGCAGTACAGTCAGCAACAAGAGACCTACCAACAAGGACCACCTCAACAGCAAGGCTATGCACAGCAGCAGTACACAACTCAACAAGGCTATCCAGCCCAGCAGCAAGGTTATGGTAAGCAACCAAGCAGAAAAAGACAATAGATGTTGGTACTCAGTGGTAAGTAGCATCTACAGCATAAAATGTGGCTGTTTCTCTACCACAGGAAGCTGTGGGGGCTAGCACGTTAGATATAGGGAGCTGGACTTGGCCCTTGTGGCTAAAGGGATTAAAGGATTAGATAGGAATGGTGAGCAAGGATATGGGGAAAGGGCAGGAGATTGGCACTGTTGCATCGATTCTAAGGAGGTGATGGCCTAGTGGTGTTATTGCTGGAAGTTAACCCAGAGACCCAGATAAAGTTCTGGGGACCTGGGTTCAAATCCCGCCGTGGCAGATGGTGGAATTTGAATTCAATAAGTATCTGGAATTAAGAATCTAATGATGACCGTGAATCCATTGCCGATTGTTGGAAAAACCCATCTGGTTCACCAATGTCCTTTAGGGAAGGAAACTGCCATCCTTACCTGGTCTGGCCTACACGTGACTCCAGACCCACAGCAATGTGGTTGACTGTGAGCTGCCCTCTGGGCAATTAGGGATGGGCAATAAATGCTGCTTGGCCAGCGATGCCCTTATCCCGTGAATGAATGAATGAATCAGGAAAGGGAATCGAGGATTATGGGGAAAAGGCAGGAAAGTGGTGTTGAGGATTATCAGATCAGCTATGGTGTCATTGAATGGTGAAACAGACTCAATGGGCTGAATGGCCTGCTTCTGCTTCTACATCTTCTACTCATTGCTGTTTTTCAAACCAATGAGGACAGGAGGAAAGCGAGAGGTAAGGATCTGGAACACCATGCCTGAGAGTGTGGTGGAGCTCGGGTCAGTGAAGGCTTTCAAAAGCGAATTGGCTAATTAACTGAGGAGGAAGTACAGGGTGAGGGGCGACGGGGTTACGAGGAGTGGCGTTTAACGTGTAGCTCCTACGGAGGGCTGGTGAAATCGGGACTGCTCAAGCGCTGTAATCGTTTGCGAAGGGTTGGGTTCTAGCAAACTGCAATTGGAAGGTTGTGCCCTTGTGGTTTGGACAGCTTCCGTGTCTGGGTGTGGATTGGTTAAGGGCGTTGGGAGGTCTGACGCGTTGGATGCTGTGTTGATTCTCGATTCTGTTTGCAGGTTCCTCCCAACCTCCTCCAAACCAGTACCCAAACTATCCACAGGGCCAGGGTCAGCAGTATGGAGGCTACAGACCCCCGCAACCTGGACCACCGCAACAGCAGCAGAGGCCTTATGGGTATGAGCAGGTATGGGATGTATGGTGTGTTTATTGGTAATTGTTTTACCCTCAGGAACCCGATTCAGCGGACTGAAACATCAGCCTGTCCTTAATGTGAAGGAGGAGGATTCAAACAGTCCACAGAGGGTTTGAGGGTTCCAGTTAAAATATAGAATTAAAAAACTAAGCACATTTATAAAACACCATCAATATGGCTAAGGCGGAGGAGGAGTGCTGAACTGAATGGAAACTGTTTGCTTGAAACTCAATACAAAGACAGAGAGAACTGCAAGTGCTGGAGTTGTCTGGTGGGATCTGTGGAGAGAGAAACCGTGTTAATGTTTCAGATCCATATCTTTTCATCAATGTGGAGAGCAGTTGGAAGTGAAATGGGTTTAGCGTGGGTGAGGGGTGGCAGGGGAGTAACAGAACAGAAAGGGAGAGATAGGGTGGTGGGTGAGAACTTCATTGAGAAAGGAGCATGGACAAAGGGCGGCACGGTGGCTCAGTGGTTAGCACTGCTGCCTCACAGCGCCAGGGACCCGGGTTCGATTCCACTCTTGGGCGACTGTCTGTGTGGAGTTTGCACATTCTCCCCGTGTCTGCGTGGGTTTCCCCGCGGATGCTCTGGTTTCCTCTCTCAGTCCAAGGTTTTTCAGGTTGGGTGGATTGACCATGCTAAATTGCCCCATTGTGTGCAGGCTAGTTGGGTTAACTGTGGCAAATGTGGGGTTATAGGAATAGGGTAGGGTGCTCATTACAGGGTTGGCTAGGCTGAATGGCCTCTATCGGTTCTGTAGGTGTTCTATGATTGGTGAAGGGACAAGCAAAAGAACAAATGTGCCTGGAGGAGTTGTGAATGGTGAGGTAGCAGTTGGCTAAGTATTTGATGAAAAGACAAGGAAATGGGGGAGGGGAATGAGAAAATGGCCAACAAAACAACGTTCACGTTAGGTCACGCCAGGAGAGACTGCTAGCTGTTTTGAGCACCACATCTTCAGAAATATGTACTAGACTCTCTATAATATGTATGTAGATTTGTGTGTATATGTTCTAAATAATATACATATATAGATTAGGGATGAGTGACCATAATATGATTAGAAATTTGCACAGGTTGAAAGGTGAGGCAGTTCGATCTGAAGCAAGGGTGTTGTAATTTGAATGAGGGAAATTATGAAAGTATGTGGCCCCAAGTGGCTAAACTGGATTGGGAAATACATGGAAAAGAATGCCTGTATATCAGCAATGGGTATTGTTTAAAGAATTATCACATGGATTACAGCAACTATACATTTCCTACAAGGTGCAAAATCTCAAATGCACAGTCAGCCAGGGCTGACCAATGAGCTTGAGGATTGCTTAAGACGGAAAGAAAAAGCCTACCAAATGGCAAACAATAGTGGTAGGTCTGAGAATTGTGAAGCTTGTAAAACACAGCTAAATAGGACCAAGAAACTGATAAGAAAGGAGAATGGAATACGAATGCAATTTAGGAAAAAACATACAATGGGCTGTAAAACCCTTGACAGATACCTTAAAACATATTTGGCTAAGACTAATACAGGTCTATTAAGAGTAGAGTCAGGAGAATTTATAATGGGGAGTAGAGAAATGGCAGAGAAGCTAAATGATTACTTTGTCGGTTTTCACTGAAGGAGTTAGGAAAGAAGTCCCAGAGTTAGAGATTCAGGTGACTAGAATGAGGAGTTGAAGGAGATTAGAATAGGTAAAAGTATTGTACTGAAGAAATTGCGGGGGCTGGAAGTTGACAAATCCCCAGGACCTGATCGTCTGCATTCCAGAGTCCAAGCATTCCGATTATCTCCCAAAATTCCATATGGTTCCTGTGGTTTGGGAGCAAGGAAATACCTCGCTCTTGATTAAGAAAGAAGCATGAGAAAGGTCTACCAGCCTTACAGCAGTGCAAGGGGGAAAGTTGGAATCTATCATAAAGAGCTTGATAAATGGACACTTAGATAAAAATGAATAAAATTATAGCATAGATTTGCAAATAGAAAACAGTGTTTGACAAATTAGTTGGGGTTTTTGAGTATGTTACAGTTTGGATGAAGGACTGTCAATGGATGTTTTCCTTTTCCTTTACAGAAGGCTTTTGATAAAGTCCCCTACAGAAGGTTAGTCAGCAACATTAAATCGCATGGTACAGGACATAATGGTACTGGTGTGGATTAATGATTGGCTAATGGACAGAAAACAGACAATAGAAATAAATGGGTGATTCTGACCTTGGCAGACTGTGGCTAGAGGGGTACCACAAGGATCAGTACTTGGACCCCAGCTGTTCACAATATAGATCAATGAATTGGACACAGGAAATATTTCCAAATTTGCAAATGATGCAAAGCTAGGCAGAAATGTGTGTGCTGTGAGGAAGATGTAAAACAGCTTCAGGATAATTAAGAGAGACTTGGTGAGTGGGCAAGAACACGGCAGTTGGAATATAATGTGGAAAAATGTGAGGTTATCCACTTTGGTAGAGAAACAGATGTGCAGAAAATTTCTTAAGTAGTAAGAGGTTGGAAAGTGTAGATGAAGGAACCTAGGTGTCTTTATTGATAAATCACTGTAAGCTAACATACAGATGCAGCAAGTTATTTGGAAGGCTAATGGAACGTCAGCCTTTACCACAAGAGGATTTGAGTACAGGAGCAGTAAATTTTTGCTTCAATTGTATAGGAGCTTGGTTAGACCCACACCTGGTGTACTGTGTGCAGGTTTGGTCTCCTTACATCAGGAAGGATATTACTGCCATCGCGAGAGTGCAGTGAAGGTATTCAGACTTGTTCCTGGGATGGTGGGACTGGTCTACGAAGAGAGATCGGGCAAATTGGAGCTGTATCCTCTAGAGTTTCAAAAAATGAGAGGTGATTTTATAGGAACCTTTAATACTAAAAGAACATATGCAGGTAAGATGTTCCCCCTAGTCCAGAGCTAGTGAGCAACATTTAAAAATAAGTGAGATGTAACATAGGACCAAGATGAGGAGAACCTTCTTCTGCTCAAAGTGTTGTATACCTTTTGGAATTCTCTAGCCCAACAGGATGCAAAAACTCTGTCTTTAAGTATATTTAAGGTAAAGATTGATAGATTTTTGATTCAGTGGCCCAGGGTTGTGGAAAGTGGCCTAAACCAGCCACGTTTGTGCTAAATGACAGAGCAGACTTAATAGACTGAATGGCTTCCTATTCATATGTTAGGAAATGCATTTTAAAACAGAGAGGGTGGTATGAGTTTTTAATTCTCTCCTGCAAATGCCAATTGATTTGTTAGTTTTAAATTGGAGATTGATAGTTGTTTGGTAATAAAAGATCATTAAGATATATGGAGTTCAATCTGCAATCAGCCATGATCTCATTGAATGGTGGAACAGGCTCGAGGGATAAACTGGAGGCCTGATCCGGGGTTGTAACACCAGGGGTTGGGGGAACACATCTCCTGGGAGTGGGCAATGGTAGCAGTTGAATGGTTATTCCAAAAGGCTGGCACCAATGTCATGGGTCAGTTGGCCTCCTTTTTCTGTCCTGTATCTCTTTCTGCTGTAGTTTAACACTGCAAGAATTTCAACATGTACTGGCAATTAAATTCAATTAACCCTTCAAGTAACTCCTCAGATTGACTCTGACTCTGGTTTACACCTTGCTGTGGTATGAGTTGCCATCCAATGGGTATACTTTACCTGTAGCCTTAAGCGCACCCTTGCAAATTTCTGTGCTACATCTGAAGAAATAGTAGGTCATTTCCAGACTCCCAGTACCCCCTGGCCCTCTCCTCACGCTAACCCCATCGAGTTAACATTTCTGAGAGTTTGGAGGAAGAGAGAGGGAAATGCAACTTCTTGGTTAGCACTTTCAAAGATGGGCTGATTGACCTGCCCCAGTGCTGTTTAAGTCATGGTTCTCACTGCATTGTTCCAACTGGACCATTCGGACAAGAATCTCCGGTAGGAAGAAGCTACCTCTGTGTGGATACATAGTGGGAAACTCATCAAGAATCTGGTAGAATTCACATAATCCGAGCTGCGGAGAGTGGAAAGTGGCCGATAAGTAACAGTCCCTATGTCCCATGGCTTCCTTGGGCTATCAGCTTGTGATTGGAATCTTCGTTCCTTCTTACCTAAGCTCCCTCTGCCTGCAGATGAAAATTGCTTTTTGTTCTTTCCCCTCAATCTGTGTTCTTGGGAGAAGAATCAGGCTCAACTTCTGTTGCATATCAGTCTTGAGTGGCCATTCTTCATGTGGACAGTGCAGATCCTGCAACGTCGGAAATATTGCTGGTGGGGGAGGGGAACAGGTGTGGGGTGGGGGAAACGCACATTGAATTTCTTTCGGTGAATCTTTCGAGCCCCGATCTCCCTTTTGAAGATTCCTGGTAGTCGGGTGAAGGAGTCTTCGCAGATGAATGCAAACAGGAGCTCCAACAGATACAAGACAGAAGGTCCTGGAAACTGTTAACGAAGCTGGAGCAGTGGAAGGGTGGGCAGAGTCTACAGCTGACCACTCTGTAGCTTATGGAGCTGGGAAGGAGGAGGGCATGAGGGGCACTGACCCCAATGAAGAGGTGAAAAGAAACCATTTAGTCAAAAGATCTCCTTAAAACTTCACAGGTAAATGTAGATCATTCTTTTATCTTCGTACCAAAGTGGTTATGCTCATCAAGTTGCTTGTGGAATGGAATTTGGATAAAGTATATATTTTTTTAAAATATAAAGATGATGTAGTGTTACTGTCTGCACATGTACAAATTCAATGGTGTTTCAATTGAACTTTAATTTGGTCTAAAGTTTTGGGTCTCTTTTGTCTCCACAGAACTTGCAATGAATTGTCTGCAGAGCTTGGGAAGAATGTGGGCACTCACCCAGAAAGTTTTTAATTTCCACATTTTGGCCCCGGTCAGCCACGGAGGAGGAAGAAAGCAAAACACACAAGCTAACCTGTTGCAAAGACACAGCCAGGGACGGGGGAACTGCTGACTTTCGGGCACTGCAAGCAAGGGAGGTGCATTACTCATTCTCTGACCAAGGTGGTCACCAGATTGACAAGACCAGTGGTGACCAGGTTAACCAGACCAGTGCTCCTTCCACCCCTCCCCACCACTTCACAACCACCCCCCCACTCCATTTCCCGCTGTGTCCAGCCTATTTCCCACCGTTTATCCACCCCTAGACATTTCACTGTGTCTCTCAAGTCTATGACAGTTTCAATGACTTCATGAATCTTTTGCACGAGAGTTGACCAAGCACCCTCTTGTGTTTTCTCAATATGGAGCGGGTGTGTTGGAGGACCTGGATTTTGACGCTGTGGACTGATCTTGCTGTGACAGACCCTCCGCTGTGCGTGGGACCCAGCAGGTAGCGCGTCTTCCAGCACAATCTGACCTCACGGCTTGGATTCCTCAGTCTCAGACTCTGCAGTATCCCTTTCCCCAGATTTCTTGATGTTCCCATCAGCCTGGCTCATCCTCTCTTAAGATCACGCTGAGACTTTTCTTAAAAATTGAAGATAATGAGGAGCCAGGATGTTGAAGAATTGCCTGTTACCAACACGAAATATTTGCTGCTGCTTTATTTGTATTGATTTGCTACGCTATGCAGGAGAGCTAAAGTGAACAAGGCTTTTGCTCTAAGTACACGTGTTTATGGAGACTGGAAATTATGCTCACACACAGCTTTCTGAAACAGTATTGACAAAACCCACTCCCAGAATCAAATTAAAAAACTCTGAGTGGGGAGGGGTGTGTTAAATGTGGTGACTCTCATGCCCAGAGGTTAATATTTAATTTATGCCAAATGCTATTTTCTCTGAAGATTCCGCATGTTTTTTTCTGACCTCCTCTCTGGTTCCTCTTTTCTGGCTTTTGAAGGTAGAAGAGCTCTATGAAGAGTGTTTACACCAGTAGCTCAAATTGTTCATTCCCTTGTGCTATAGTTCAAGCTAACCTCCCAACCTTCAACTCAATGGCTTTTTTATACTTTAGAACGAGTGAAGTGGCTGTTTTTGACAGGGGTAGACCCGATGGGCCGAACATCCTTTGTGCTGTAGATCTCAATGACACTGCCCCTGTGGGTTCACAGGGTGATCAGCATTTCTGTAGCACCAGACTCGTGGGTAATCCCCTGTCCCTTTTGAACCCGGCACACGTTCCACACATTGCTAACGCAATCCCTTTAGTTTTGAAACAGACTCCTGCTGAGTTGACCCAAGAAGTGTTGCTCCGAGAGTTGTAATTTTTCCTTTTGGGGTTAATGCATTGTGACTATGTTACTACATGAAGAATACAGAGGCCTAGTTTACTGATTCAGAAGCACGGATGTAGCAGCTGGGGAATTTCAGTTCAATTGATTGATTTGGGAATAAAAAGCTAATCTTGGCATCGGTGACCACGTATTGTCGATTGTCATAAAATCCCATCATAAAATCTGAGTCACTAATGCCCTTGAGAGAGGGAAAATCTACCGCCCTTACCTGGTCTGGCCTACATGTGACTCCAGATGCATAGCAATGTGGCTGACTCTAACCACGCTCTGGGTGAGGAGGGATGGGCATTAAATGCTGGTCTAGCCACATCCCATGTTGGGGATGGGTAACAACCATGAGTGGATTATTAAAAAGCTGTATTCCATATGTTGGTAACGTCACATTGTTTTGCTAACCTCTTACCACCCTCTCAGAAAGCAGTTTCTGACTTTGTTTGTGGAGCTAAACAGCTCACTGTGTTATTTAAGAGGAAATTAAGTTAACTGTAATTTGTCAGGTACATTATACGAGAGAATTATTTTTATTTGCTAGGAAATCTCTGTCTCTGTTTTCTCTCTCTCTCTCACACATACTCATGCACACATACTACTCACAGACACACACACAGACAAACACCCTCTCTCTCTCACACTCAGACAGACTGTCTCTCTCACATACACACATGTGTGCACACCACTCACAGACACACTCGCACATACCCTCTCTCTCTAACACACACTCAGACACTCTCTCTCTCTCTCTCACATGCGCACATCCTCTCACACCACTCTCCCTCTCCCTCCCCTTCTCTCTCTCACACATGATGTGGAGGTGCCGGTGTTGGGACTGGGGTGGACAAGGTCAGAAATCACATGACACCAGGTTATAGTCCGACAGGTTTATTTGAAAACACAAGCGTTTGGAGCCCTTGTCCTTTTTCAAGTGCTAGTCAGGTATTAGACTAACACCTGAAGAAGGACTGAGGCTCTGAGAGCTTGTGTTTTCAAATAAATCTGTTGGACTATAACCTGATGTGTGATTTCTCTCTCTCTCTCTCTCTCTCTCTTCCTCCCCCTCCCCCACACCTCTCTCTCACTCTCTCTTCCCCCACACCGCTCACTCGCTCTCCCTCCCTGTCTCTCTCCCCCTCCCTCCCCCACACCTCTCTCTCTCACTCTGTCTTCCCCCACACCACTCGCTCGCTCTCCCTCCCTCTCTCTCTCTCCCACACACCGCTCTCTCTCTCTCTGTCTCCGACACACAGTCCCATACACCCCATGCGCACAGGCAGGCACATGTGCACACAGACAGGATGGAATGGTCACTGATAATATAATTGGTCCAAGTGCAAATAGTGTTAATCGTAGCTCAATCAGATGAGCTGCATAAATTATTTGAGTGCGCCTTGCTGACTTTTCTTTTCATGTGACCTTTTATCGTTGGGAACATGTGCTGTTGTGAACCATTGCCCTGTGTCTGGAAGAAATGTCCAGGGATCTGTTGAATAATAGATATCAGTGGAGCCAACAGTAGCTTCTGAAACTGGCTGATCTTCGCTTGTCCTTGTGCAGCAGCCAAATCCGAATGTCACTGTTGTCAAGCTCTGTGACCCAGTATCAAAGAGGTTGAGCTTGGAATAGTGGTTTCCAGAGCCTCCCACTCCCCAGAGAGATCAGGGGCTGTTCCAGAGCTAAGCACGTTGCATGAGGAAATAGACGCAAGTTAAACAGGCCAAGCAGTGATGGCACTAATGATTCAGTTTGTCCCTGGCTTTCTATTTTTTTGCAGTGTTACTGTCGGGTCATGGTCATTTTTTTTTTTTTGCAATGTCTGCGTGTGGCATTGTATTCAGAAACAGATGGAAAACAGACGTTTTTGCAATGACTATAGACTGGCAGAAAATGAAGGCTTTTCTTTAAAACAAAAATGTGCAGCTATTGCTTGTTGAGGAACATTATTGTGAATGTTTTGGCAAGTTGGATAGTTTGTTACATGATCATTAGTGCTGAATACCACTCTGTTACATCTCTATAGAATGTGAGTTGGAATATAAATTGTCTGTATGGTCAATGTGTTCAACAATTATATTGTGTGTTCTCCATTTGGGACATTGCTAACATGTATTGTGTTGAATTTTTATAAACATGTCTTGAATGTTGATAGTGTCTGTCATGCAGTATCCATATGAGAGGCATTTCCTCAATTCTCGTCTCAGCTGGGGCGTTTCCTCAACGCAGAACTGAGCAAAGCTGTTTCACTTCTGCTGCATGTCAGTGGCCTGAGATTAGATTGGGTTATGGTCTGGTATAATAAGACCCTAAGACATCAGAGAGTGTGAAAGGTTTCATTACACTATTTCTGGAGGAGGAGGGTGGGTGGTTTCCCTTGATGGCTTCGTTGATGTTTATCCTTCAAGGGGAGATGGTGTACTGGTAATGTCACTGGAGTTTTGATCTGGAGCGCCAGGTTAATGTTCTGGGGACATTGGTTCAATCCCACCATCTGCTATGACTTCAATTAAGAAATGTGTAGTAAAGAGGCAGTTCGATGGCTATCAATTGTTGTAAAAACCCACCTGGTTCACTAATGTCCTTTAGGGAGGGAAACTGCCATCCTTACCTGGCCTGGCCTACATGTGACTCCAGACCCACAACAATGTGAATGACTCCTAACTCTCCTCTGAGCCATCAGGGATGGGTAATAAATGCTGGCCTAACCAGCGATGCCCCCAGCTCGTCAACAAATAAGCCTTAGAAGCAGAAGGTGGCATTTGCACGCTTGTCTTTATTGGTGAGTGCATGGAGTATAGGAGTTGGGAGGTCATGTTGTGGCTGTACAGGACATTGGTTAGGCCACTATTGGAATACTGTGTGCAATTCTGGTCTCCCTGCTGTAAGAAGGATGTTGTTAAACTTGAAAGGGTTCAGAAAAATATTTAGGAGGATGTTGCCAGGTTTGGAGGGTTTGAGCTATAGGGAGAGGCTGAATAGACCTGGGCTATTTTCCCTGGACCATCAGAGGCTGAAGTGACCTTATGGAGGTTTATAAAATCATGAAGGGCATGGATAGGGTAAATAGACAAGGTCTTTACCCCAGGGTGGGGGAGTCTAAAACTAGAGGGTATAGGTTTAAGGTGAGAGGGGAAAGATATAAACGGGATCTAAGGAGCAACTTTTTCACACAGAGGGTGGTGCGTGTATGGAATGAGCTGCCAGAGGAAGTGGTGGAGGCTGGTACAATTACAACATTTAAAAGGCATCTGGATGGTGATATGAATAGGAAGGGTTTAGAGGGAAATGGGCCAAATGCTGGCAAATGGGACTAGATTAATTTAAGATATCTGGGTCAGCACGAATGAGTTGGACCAAAGGGTCTGCTTCTGTGCTGTACAACTCTTACTTCAATTTGTTTGAGATGGGTTGTCACTACTGGGGGTGTTGTAACAAATTGCGCAAAATTTCAAAATTATGCATGTACTTGGAAAAAGTCATTTTATTGATGATGATGATGCTGACCCACCTTTGTACACCTCTACTCAATCCATCTTTTGCTTTCTCTTGGTCCTGCTAGAAGCTCAATGATCTGAACTGTTAACTGTGGAGCCTGGAACAAAGTTTCTGCCAGACCTGCTGAGTGTCTTCAGCAGGATTCTTTTAAGCTCTGGTTGTGTGTTTCGAGGGGATAATTAGCAGGGCTACAAGAGAAGGAGGGGTTGATTTGCGAGAGGGATTAGCTGGGCAGCTCTTTCAAAGGTCCAGCACAGGAATGATGGACCAAATGGTCTGTGATTTTAGATTTAGTTTTTATTGTTACACATACACTTTGTACTCCTGTACTTGAGTATAATGTTGCCACAAATGGCACCATCTTAGGTACCAAAGTATTTAGGTACAAATTAGTAAGAAAAACAAAAGTTAAAAAGTTAAGCATTACTTTATAGAATAAATAGAAAAATTAAAAAAAGCTAATAGTTAACATTGAAGTCTTTTGTAGTTTAAACTAGGAAAATAAAGGAATAAGCAGTAGGATTCTGCAGTTCTACTGAGTAACGTAAAGAGTTTTCACAGATAACAATACATGCATAGTAGCCCATGCATGTAGGCTGTGTTTTATTTAAGAGATTGTCTGTCTGTTTCTAAAGACTAAATTTGACAAGGAATCTGAGAGGGAAAGTACATTTTGAAATGTGCTGAGTTTCTTAATGTTCAAATAGTACTGTAATTAGAAAACAGGGTCCAGTTTTAGTCTCCTTCCCCAAGAACGGTGCACTTGCTTTGGAGGGAGTGCAACACGGGTTCATCAGAGAAAACTGGGGAGAGAGGATGTCCTGTGAGGACAGTTTTTAGGGACCAGAACTCATGGGGGCTTAGATTAACGAGAGGTGATCCAATTGCAACATTAAAAGAATTCTTCAGGTGCTCACGAGGATAGATGTCGGAAAATTGTCTCCCCTTAACAGTGAGTTGAGAGCTAAGGTGTGACCTTTGAGTAAAATAGTTGTACATTCAGCCAAAGACATTGAGAATTGGAACAAGTTAAACATAATCCTTTGAGCTGGGGGTCAGTTAGCTCAGTTGTCTGGATGATTGGTCTAATTGTCAGTGATGCCAACACTGTGGGTTCAATTCCTCCATTGGCTGAGGTTACCATGAGGGACTGTCCTTCTCAGTCTCTCCCCTCGCCTGAGGCATGGTGACCCTCAAGTTAAACCACCACCAGTCGTGACTCCTGCTCGCTCTGTCGCTCTCTGGCTCTCGCTCGCTCGCTCTGTCGCTCTCTGTCTCGCTCTCTAATGCGATAGCAGCCCAATGGTAGGACTATGATGTCTTTACTTTATTATTTTTTCCTAGCAGACTCCCTCTGCTGGTAGCTTTGTGCATGGTAGGGTTAAGTGAACAAAATACACAAAACAGTTTTCAATGTACTACAAAGGGGTCAGAATCTTGGGGTAAGGTGTGAGCGAGAGCTGGAATGGTTGGTGCGGGATGTGGGGGAGTGAGAGCTTTGTCCTGTGGGGCAGGGGGAGTGTTATAACCAAGGTCATCCAGGATTAGTTGAGCCTTTTGTCAAGGTAAAGGTGACTTTTGCAGGATTTAGGAGTTCTATCTAATGGGTAACAAATAAGGCTATTGTCTAGAGGAGGGTAGGGGGAAAAGATACAGTTACAGGAGGGTTTGGTGTGGGGGTTGAGGGGGCGCGTGGAGAGAAGGAAATTTCCAGATGGAAGTGTGAAGGAGGCTGTAAGAAGGCTGTGATGGGGGGAAGAAAGAGACTGTAGGAGGTAATGAATCGTTTGCAATTAAATGTGGAATCTCTAGTATAAGGCTGCATAAACTACGCTTGGACAGAATTTAGTGGATCTGACTGTAATGACTGCTGTCAATCATTAAATTTCAATTAGCTGTAACTGCATCAGTCTGTAGAAGGTTTGTTTAGGGTAATGGCTTTTTTAAATGTAGAAGTGCATATCAATAACATTGAAGGGAGAAAAAATATCATTTATTAACTAATGCTTGTTGTCTTCTGCTGAATTAAATACTGTGTCTCGAAAGTTAATGCAAATTCAGAAGGTATTGTTGCTGCATGACCACATCACCTAATAAAGGAGTTAAGTGAGAATGAAAGAAATCTG